AGGCAATTAGTGACATTCATAAAATGAAGTTAAACAATATCCTCTACATTTAATTTCTCTAATAACACATTAGTCTTGCATGCTGAATCACCATATTTATCTAAGATTTCTGCCTGTATTTTAATAATTCCATTATGAGATATTAAACCTCAAATATGTAATTTCAAAGTTTATGAATTTTCTCACCACAGGGATTCGAAAAGGCCCAATTGCAGCTGACATTGCAATGGTGGGTGATGATGCAGATTCTCCTATTATAGCTTGAACTGCAGCTGGTCTGGAGCAGGAGGTGTCAGAGAGAGTTTCCTCATTTCCATTCATTAAACCCATAGCTGCTCTTAAAGTCAAAGGTACTGATCCACATGTGTCATAGATCTTATATCCCAAAGATACTCCAGGAAGAAGATCACTCCTGTTATTTATTTCTTCAATGGCAAAGATCATTGTCTGTATGGACTGGAATTCTCCAATGAGTAAGCTAAGGAAATCAAATAAAGTTTTCAATTCTGTTAAAACAAATATACAGAAAAAGGAGCAATGAATGTTTATAAATTCATCCATACATTTTTTAACTGATTTATCCAACACAGTATCGAAGCGGTGCCAGATCCCATACTGGCAAGTAACAGGTACAAAGCAGGATACACCACACTCAGGAGCAGACGTCACTCCATCACAGGTTTATACATTCATACATAGATATTTTTATACCAAGAATCTATGTATTTTTTTGTCTTTAGAAAACCTTTACATACCTTTTGCAGTTAGGGGGATCTGGTTTGGTTTTAAATAGGTGCACTTTTTCTTCAGTATTGCTGTGGATTTGAAACACTCCCCCAATCATCACATCTCCATCTTTAAATAAATGTGGAAAAGCTGCTGATCCTTGAGTCCTGCAAACCGGCTGTTCTCCTGAGGTGAAAACCACAATAACGATCATCATTGTTGCTGTTGTCAGTAACATCCTAGAGTGCATGAGAACACCTCTTTCGAAACAGTCAACATGTCATAATTAATGTCTTTATATTGTGCAGGGGTGTCTCTGATGTAGTTAAATCAACTTGAAATGAAGTTCAGAATGCGTGAAATAGGAATCCCCAAAGGTGTGAAAAGAGAAGTTTACATGTGTGCTCCAACCGTTCCAAAGATTCAGCTTGCGTAAATCAAGAAAGGAATGACACCTCTGGGGATTAATACCAAGGAAGCTGCTAACTCTATGGCATGTTTATGATGGAGAAAGGCTGGAGTTTACATTCACATTTGCCATGTATATGGATTTGTATGCTGTCTTTAAAAGTAAATGCTTAAAAGAATGGTTCATATACACAAAGAACATTAATACCAGATATTTACATTGTGAAATCCATTCTATTCCTGAGAGATACTTTTTTCAATTAAATGTTAAAAGTATTAAGTAGACAGTATTAAGCTGTTTAAATATGGCTTGTTATTTCTGTGTCTTCTTGTTTCATACATTTTCTAATCACACCCATTTTACTTGTCACATCCCAAGATGGGACTGATGGCCTAGAAAACAGCCAGACTGTTGAGACTACAATGGCTAGCCAAAACT